TGGATCTCCTCCCTTCCTTCTACATTAACTTACTTAAATATTCCTCTATATCCCCACAATATTTATATCCACAATATCCATATCCCCACAATACCCCGCACACATATCTCCACACATATCACTCAAATTCCATATCCCCACAAACGGCTAAAATTTTGCTTATTACATGGGATAATGGAATTATTTGCTGCCCAAACTATTGGCGATCAACCTTGATGTTTTTAAAAAATTTAAATTGATAAAGTTGAGCATAAACTTTATTTCAAGATAGTTTATGCTTTCTTCAATTTTATCTTCAAATCACATACATATATCCTTCTGGCAACAAATCGTGACTATTTTTTAATTTTTTTAACTCAATTGAATTTTCCTCGTTTTTATGAAATGACTCAGTCCTTGGCCAAAAATAATGTTCGGGTAATTTATGTTCAAAAGGAGATTTCTCCAAACTTCCTTTATGTTCAAATTTTGTAGATTCACCAGACAATGCTTTTTGTTCTGACGCCCAAAAATGGTCGATATGTTCTGTTGCTATCTGTAAATTTAATTTATTATTACATTTATGATGAGTATGTTTTGATTAAGCAAAGGAGATAAGCGGATATAGTTAGACTTTAAACTGAAACCGAGGAAAGCTGTGTAGGTAGGTAGTGATACTCTTCAATAGGGTTGTCGGTTCTAGACCGAACCGAACCGAAGAACCGAGGATTTTCTGTTGAGTTCAGTAACAGCTGGCTATAGCTATTTCTCTTCGTTAGCTAGTGCAAAAGGTTATTCGGCAGCTGGGAGCGAACCAGCATCTTCAGTAGACCGGACTGAGTTGTTAGCCGTTACACCGCGTCACCTACTGCATAGCCTTAGGAATTAAATAGCTATATGCTTTACAGTTCTTAGGTTCGGTTTCGGATATCCAAAGAATTTCCAAGAACCGACAACCCTACTCCTCAATACGAAAAATATTTCTATTGCCTTCAACTTTTCAATTTCTTCATGTTTGTCTTCCACAACATTAATTTTATAACGTCTCATAGCTTCATATTTTCTGTAAAAAAGCATCCAAGTATCAACAACTTCACAAACACTTCTATTCAACCAATTTGGAGGTGTCTTTTTAGTCTCTCTATAAAGTGTAATTTCTTCAAAAGTCTTGACTATATTAACTAAATTTTTTGATTTTGTTTCAAAATTTTTATTTTCGATTGTTGAAGATTGTGGAAGGGCTTTTTTAACTTTATTTTGGTATTCGTCATGTAATGTGATTCTTTCATCAACATTTTCTAATATTGGTCTGGCAGCCAGATTTAATTTTAAAGGGCCTTATTTTTAAATAATTATTTTTTGGATTTATATTTAATTAAAATTAAAGTAAAAGTATGGGTAAAATTGTTACTTTCACCTTCTTTTTTTATCTATCTTAATGTTAAATGCTAGCCAGATGGATCTCCTCCCTTCCTTCTACATTAACTTACTTAAATATTCCTCTATATCCCCACAATATTTATATCCACAATATCCATATCCCCACAATACCCCGCACACATATCTCCACACATATCACTCAAATTCCATATCCCCACAAACGGCTAAAATTTTGCTTATTACATGGGATAATGGAATTATTTGCTGCCCAAACTATTGGCGATCAACCTTGATGTTTTTAAAAAATTTAAATTGATAAAGTTGAGCATAAACTTTATTTCAAGACTATTTATCTGTTAAAGTCTAAAATTTTTCCTATTTGACTTTTACAAATTTTTAATTAAATACCTCCATAAGGATTATCGACAACAATTAAAAATTGTATCCAATTCTTTACAGGTACCCGAATGTTAAACCATTTCCAACAATTTTCTTTCCATTCAGAATTTTCAATATGCAACCCGTCCACATAGCTAGGACAGAAAAATTTATTTTTGTCATCAAATATTTCAAAAATAAATTCTAATCGAGTAAATTCACTTTTTAAAGCTTCTATATCTTTTTTAGCTTCTTCAATTAAAATCTAGAAAACGCTAGTTTTTATTAAATAAAAAAATATAATTTAAATTAACTGATTCAACATTATGTGAATTTGAAAAAAATTTTTCTTTGTTTTGAAATACGATATTTCTAAATTGGTGTCCCTTTGAATTTACATTATGTGATTGACGGTTGCTTGTAGATTCCTCTTTTTCTAAATATTTTTGGAGAGAATAAATTAAAAGTTAAAAAATTTTATGACATTATTGTTAAAAGACTACAGCCCAAAACAACTTGCGGACAAAACAAACTATCTGAGAAATTTTGCGTGTGCCAATCTCTTTAGCCAATGAAAGAAATCGTTTAATAATAAATTTGTTAAGATTCGGAAATCTTGAAGCAAGTTAGGGTTAACAAGTTAAGTTAACTTTTAAAGTTTAACAAGTTAACACTAAAAAGTGTAAAATAAAGTAATTGAAAAAGATGAAAAAGCGCGCGCGTAATTTCTGCTTCTTCTGATCAACTCCAAAAGTTTGGCGGTTCCACTGTTATATGGATGATCCGCATTAAAGGAGAAATGAGAAGCAAAAGTCGCACTCCACTAGAGAGGTGCCGGAGCTCGGAAATAGCTCAGAAGTCGTAATTCAAATTCCGAGTTCCTTAAGCTAAACTATTTAACTCTTACTCTGTTTCTGAAACTAACAAATAAGAAACAGTTCTTCAACTATTTATATTATTAAAAATAACAAATTTATTTCCTTAACCTTTTTTATTATCATCTCCATTACTAAATTCTTCAATTAATTTTAATTTGACTTCTTGAGAATTTAATAATTGACAGAAGAAAATTATCAAGAAAAAAGATAAATTTTTTGACATTTTTATTTAATTTTTGATTTTTTAAAAATTTGGATTCCTTTTTAAATGCATTGTTTTTGATGATGTAATAGGAAGAAAATGCAATATACAATAATTATTGCGTCTTTAAAAATTAATTAATTAATAAGGGCATTAAGGGCATTATAAGTTTATTAAGAAATGGCTAGACATGATGGGCAATTTTTGTTGTAAATTGCGTGATGTCGGTAATAAGGTGTACGGTTACAATATTTTCTCATTAAAAATTTATTTTTCTTTGAAATAAAAATTTAATTATTAATTTTATTAAAATTAAAACTTGCACTTTGAAATTTTTGTTTGACAAATTAAGGAGATCAACAAAGGGCCTGATCAACCCTTGAGTTTATCCTAGGAAGTCCCGGGCATATTCCCTTCCTTATTCCATTATTCTGGGTTAAGGTCCCACATTAGAAACAACCCAATCGGAGGTCCCACCTTTATTTTATAAATTAGTTATTATTTCAATTATTTGTTTAGTGATTTTTTAAACTATGGACAGCATATTTTATACCGAATTGCAACTTTCAATTTTGTAATGAAGTCTTTTTACTTATTTTCCTAAAGGAATGGAATGGCTAGTTGAATGGCCATTTCCATTTTATCCTTGATAGAGCTGTTCAAATAGAGATGTCCAAAACAAACATATAAATGTTTTGTAAATGGATATCCCATTATTTACCAACCAAGCGAGTCATTTTATCTCATTTTTACACTAAAAAAGTCGCAATTTACGAATAAATTCATCAATATTTTCATTAAATCCCTTTATTTATTTGTTTAGTTTTTTGATCAAATTTAAGAGGAATCCATTCAGAAGGAAAATCTTTTCTGTGATACAACGAATTGACTTCAAAATCATCATAATAATAAATTTGAGAATTTATATCATTTAATAAATAACCAATCCACCATCCAAACGTAGAGGCGGAAGCAGTGATTATTAATGTATTACAGATTTTTGTTGGAAAATACATATCTTGTCCTCTAGTCATATTTTTTGGTATAAACACTCTTTTTGGCTTTTAATTAAATAATTAAATATATTTAAAAGATAAAATGCCCAGTTTGCAGTCCCTAAGTCTGCAAAAGTATATTTTTTGCTGCATTCTATTGCTTTCCTTAATTGCTATCTCCCTTAATTTTCCTCAGGTCCTCTAGTCATATTTTTAATATTGTTTTACTGTTTGGCGTAATTTTGAGAACCAAAGGAGAATTAAGCGATGATGTAGGGAAGGATTGTAATGACAAGATTTTTTGTAGTGTAAAAACATTATCTACGGAAACAGATGAATAAATGAAGAATGTCGTCGTAGACAGGAAAGAAATTTTAGAATTTTTTAAAGAATGCCTTCTACAGATATAAAGACTGCAAACTGGCATTAACCAATTTTTACCTTAATTCCATCAAAATTTAAATTTGTCAAAAACTTTTTATCTGCTCCAAGTAGAATTAATGTAATCTCATCACTGTGTATTTTTTTCTAAAATTTTAAATAATTATATCAATATATTTAATAATTTATTTTTAAAAAATATTATTTTCAATTATTTGTTTAAATACCTTTACAATTAAATACCTTTATTTCATTAAAAACATATTTTGTTGATTCTTCAGTAAAATCTTTTCTTGATGGATGATGTCTAGGGTTCTTAGGAGGACCAAAATCGCCTAATCTTGTATATACACATAATTTATGTGAAAGATCATTTCTGCAATTTATTTTAAAATTCTAAAAGGCTTTTATTAAATGAAATTTAGGTATTTTTCATATATCGCCAGGGTTGGGTGGTAATGTATCTGGGTGTTAGTCCCAGAGTCGGCTACGACCGGAGCCTAGGTTAGAAAAATGTTGGAGTCAATAATCGCCTAACTAAAATGATGACAATTTTTTGATCATTTATATTTTTGAGGAATTTAGCTTATCTTTTCGTGACATTGAGCCACTTATATTTTTGTCAATTTTTTTAATATTGTAAATTATACATGACTTTCAGCCTTTAAAAGACGGAAATAATTTCATAATTAGTAATTTTTTTGTTAATATTCGCCTGTTTATAAATTTTGTATAAAATTTGCTATAAAATAGATACAAAACCAATTAGAGGACAAGAATACACCCAAATCTTTAGAGGATGAAAATTTAGTTTATAACATACCCAAATATTTCATCAATATATTTGTCAACAATAGTTCTAATCTTTGTTGAAAATAAATATAATTCCTTAATTTGATTTTTTACATCCTTAAATAAATCATGTATTTGAGGAGGGTAATGAATTCTTAAATATTTTTCTTTAGCTTCAATTACTTCATTTTTACTGAAATTCTTTTTAAATATTGTATCGCCTTCAACTTCTTCTGGCTTTAACAAAAACAATTTTTAAAACTACTTTAGAAAACCCATAAACGGCACCTTAAAAGAAGCAAAAATTCTGTGAGCGATAGGAAATGTTTCTTCCATTTCACTTGGAGTATTGTTAAAAGAATCACAAGAAAATTTAGAGTTGTTAAAATATCCAGGATAACGTTGAGTTTGTATTCCCCATACATAAAATATTGCAAAAGTCCACATCTAATAAATATTTAATATATTTGAAGTTATAAAGTAGGATTAGATCCAAACCTCGTATAACCCCAAAGCTTTGAACTCAATTTCAAATTTTTTTGAACTCGAATCTGACATTCTCTACTTTGTCTCTTAATTTATCCTTGATATACCTCATAATCCCTTTTCCCCATTATTCTGCCGAAATCAACCGATATCCCATCAATCGCTCCAAATCCACCAATTTCCCTCGAAATTGGTTCAAATTTAAAATTTTATGAATTTTTTGTAAGATCGAATTTTTTGAATTCTAGGTTTCGCTTCTAACCAGAGATGTTTCGAAACAAAAAAATCTTCGAAAATCGGAAATCGAAAATCGAAAAAAATCCAAAAATATCGAAATCGAAAATCGAAAATATTTTTCAAAATCTTCGAAATCGAAAATCGAAAATCGAAAGAAAAATAACCTCGAAAATCGAAAATCGAAAAACGAAAATCGAAAAAAAAATTTTTAATAGAAAAAATTAAAAAATAAATTTTTATGTTACAAGTTGGAACTTTTGCTTGAACTCTAAGGAATTTGGGATTCCAAGGAAATCACGGATATCCAAACCCAAAATTTTGCATATCAGATTGAGATCCTGGCTCCAGAGCCGGTGATTTTCTGAGCCGCTTCTTGTTATCTCCAGACTCCGAGTGTAAAGATTAATATTTAATCCTGAGATCTGTGTGGGTTAAGAGGGATAACGGAGGATTTGAGTAAACTCATAAGGTGGTACCTGGCATAGGGTTCCGGCAAGGGGCCTGCTCTCTCCAACTGGCCTGCTCCATCCATCTGGCCTGCTCCCTCCAAATGGCCTGCTCCCTCCAATCCCACCTTAATTCAAGAAATACTCCAATATACCGGAGCCGAAGCATTATATTGTTAATAGATCAGGGTTTCCTCCAATTAGCGCCGCAGGCGAAAATTTTGGGAATTTTGAAAGGCTAAGAACCAAAAATCTTTCTTAATTGCGCCGGAGGCGAAAATTTTGATGATCCTTAAGGCAAAAATCTTTCTTTTTCAGCGCCGCAGGCAAAAATTTTGAGAATTTTGAAAGGCTAAGAACCAAAAATCTTTCTTAATTGCGCCGGAGGCGAAAATTTTGATGATCCTTAAGGCAAAAATCTTTCTTTTTCAGCGCCGCAGGCAAAAATTTTGAGAATTTTGGAAGGTCAAGAAGCCAAAAATCTTCCCTTTTCTGCGCCGCAGGCAAAAATTTTGAGAATTTTGGAAGGCCATGAAGCCAAAAGTCTTCCTTTTCTGCGCCGCAGACGAAAATTTTTTTAAGTTTATGATGGCCAATAAGCCAAAAATCCTCCACTTTGGCGCCAAAAATTAAAATTTTTCAAAAATTCGGAAATCGAAAATCGAAAATATCACAAAATTTCGAAAATCGGAAATCGAAAATCGAAAGGAAAAAAACCTCGAAAATCGAAAAACGAAAATCGAAAATCGAAATTTCGAAACATCTCTGCTTCTAACTCAATTTCAAATTCCGATTTATCTTTTCCGTATGTTTTGGAGTATAATCATTCCAGTGTTTTCTTATAGAATTATAGCCCCATCCTCTCTGCTTCAATATAAAATGCTTATTTACTTGATTAGCAAGACGTCCACAAGATCCGTGAAAATGATCTTCAGTTATTTCTAATAAAATGAATTTTGTATTTTTTTGTTTTCTCCAAATTTCCAATTTTGACAAATTTACATATTTTAAATTTAAATGTTTTTGTTTTTGCCATTCTTCAATTTCATTGTAAAATTTTCTTGTACCATTATATTTTGCTGAATATTTTGTTGCAGTCAAATATTCAGGAAAATCAAAGAATTTGAAAACTTAATTTTATAATTTAACATAAATTTATAGCCAATACATATTTTGGACTATAACTTTTTTGATTCGAAACCGATTAAGATAATTTCTATATTATTCTAAAGCTATGGATGTGTGGATTATTTTAGCTATAAGGATGGATATTTTCATATCATCCTAAAAATATTACATCTGAATAAGTGTGCCAATCGTGATTACTGATTTTTATTCGGCTATAGCTTTATGAAGTATGTTCTGAGCAAATCAATCCTGCTAGCTAGAGTAAGAGTGAGGTAAAAGTTTAATCCCGGGCAGGCTTCGATCCTGCGACCTCTTGGCAGTTATTGCTAGGCGCTTTTGCTCACCACGTACAGGTTCTCTACCAACTTCACTTTCTCTTTTAATAGACCACCGCCTAAACGTTTTCAATGCTAGCTAGCTGGATCTTTCATTTCCTTACACTAGTAAAATACCGATATATCAAGAGCTTTTGACTTACCAAAATAAATAGTAATTGCAAAAAACAATAAGGCAACTATTTTATTTTTGCCCATATTTTTAATTTATTATGTCAATTTTTTGATAGAAAATAATTAAAGACTATCCAAAAGAAGAATGATAGAAAATGAATTAAAGCACGGATTCTTAGTCAAAAAAGTTTTTCTGAGGCATAGGAAAGTCAAAAAAATATTTTTTTGGGGAAGAAGATTTAATTAAAAATTAAAATTTTAGTAAAATTCTTTTAAAATTCATATTTAAAATTGATTTTTGAATAAAAAATTGCTTAAACAAATAGAATAAATATTTTTGAAGTAGCAATTGAATATAAAATGAATAGGTGATTAAATAAATAGCTTTATAATATACTAAAGTTTTGCCAACTCAATTATAGATTTTCTATTAGAAACAAATTTATACTTTTGATAAAATAAATATGTATCGAATTAAATCTTTAATTAAAATAACATCTTTTAGATTTCTCCAAGAATTATCCACAAAATTCGAGTCACTGAGAGGTGACTGAGCCTTTCTTGTGAATATCCGTCGGCATCTCTGTGAGGGATTTCCCTTGATATCATTTCAATGACGTGATTTTTTTTTGATATTTAGAAGAACATCCTTTAAATATAAATACATAAACAATAATAACAAAAATTATTCTCTATTACTATTAATATTAATCTCTAATCATCAACATTTAAATAATTAGCTTAAGCACAAATGACATTTGCAAATAAAATAATATTAAAAACAAGGCAATAACAATAAAAATTAAAAATAATTATTGCTATAATTATATATTATCAAGTAGTTGTTTGGTAACATTTTGTTTTCCAACATTAATCTAATAATTAGTTACTATTTTTTGCTCCAATTTGTGCAATAAAAGCAATTAATTATTGCCCAACCTTTATTTATTCCTTTTATTGGATATTTCTTTTTTAGCCTTTTTTATGTAAATTAATTTAGTCTATTTAAATTATTCTAAATTTAATTTGCCATAAATTATTAATTTAATTTAGCAAGTATTTTTAGTTTTCTGAAAAAATTTTATTTCCGCATCTAGATAAAATTAAATTATGTAAACAAAATTTTGACTCAAAAAATCCACCAGTAGATTAAATAAAAACTTTTCACGTTTACCTGACCATTTTGAGCTTTTTTTTGTTTGATATGTAATTTATTATTTTTAATGTGAAAGACTCTCCGAGCTTGGTCAAATGATTACTAAGACCGGCTAGATTTGACGATACTTTGCTAAATTAAGGGATTTTTGTTAGGATCATCCTCGTTGGGAAAAATTTTTGTGTCAATGCAAGGGACTACATATTAATTGGACAATCGAAATCTTGAAATTATAAAAATTTAGACGTTTTATTATTTTTTAAGACATCATACATACATATAACCGAGAACCGCGTTTCAAAATCTGGATTAACCAAAAACATGGGTTATAGGTTAACAACCGATCGCCAACAACCCTGATAGAAATCACTTTGACCGTTAAATTATTGATAATATTCCAAGATAAAATAACGTTAAAATGTTGAACAATAATTCTTTAACATTAATTATTATGGAAATTGTTAATTTAATTTTAGACAGTATTGGAGTTCTACTTTTTGGAGTTGTAGTATTTTTAACTTTAAGAAGCAAGTAAGTATAAATTAATAAAATTTTATTTTTAATCAAATTATTGAAAATATTGCTAGGTAAAAATGGTGGTGTAGGGTTGTTACGCGTCCCCGAAAGCCGTGGAATTAAAGAGATTTTTTGAAACCCCCCACCCCTTGCCTCCTCGAAAATTGTTCCCCGTGGCCCCCCGTCGGGAACATCACTATTGGGGTGGTGACTCCTCTTAAAAAATCGTTAGGGGTTAGATTCGACCTCTCTTTCGAGGCTGGAATCTTATTAAATGAACAGAAATTTAAGCCTAACAGGCCAATAATTGACTTTCTTAGCAGCGCGTAGGCAAAATTTACTAAAATAGTAGACTAGAAATTAATTGCTAATTTGATAGATAAATTGAATTCTCTCAATTTTTAAGGAATTTATATGTAAGTAATTGCCATTGTCTGATTGGAGTTTATTGCTTATGTGGATTTTTTACAAAATTTAATACAATTTTATCGGCATCTCTTGAAATTTCTGGAATTCCAGCATTTATTTGTGATTTATTTATCTACCTACGGCTGCTATAATGCATGGAATTTTTCCTTTAATGTTAGCTATTGGGATTGATAGACTTTTGAGTATCCTAATACCTGTCTGGTGAGGAAATTAATAAACATTCAAATAAATAGTATAATTATAAGAAATAAAAAAATAATTATAATCGTACACAAATGACTTAAGTTTGAGGTTTGGATTCTAATCTTTTAGAAAATGTTCGAGTAACTCTTAATAATCCATATTATGCAGTAAAGTTCAGAAATTTACTGATATGGCCGGGATCGATCTTAAATATCGTATTTACTTTATTAATTACCCTGAGTAATTATTGGTTCGACCTCTCTCTGGAGAGAGTAATTAATAGAAGTTATTTTAGGAAAGCTAATTATAACTAATTTTAAGAAGGTAATTATTGTTTCAACGTTTCGCTGGAGGGGGCAACTAATAGAGACGGGGTAATTATTTAGGGGGGGTATTAATCGAGTATATACGGTATGTTTAAAAATAAAAAAATAGTTTTGTAGCTTAAAAACAAAAATTCCATCTAGAATAAAGATACTCGATTTTATCAATATTCCATACAATGAGGCCCTTAACGAAAAACAAAGTCAACCAAAATATTTTTGTACAACATCTCCTGTATAGAGTTGTCGGTTCCTGGAAATTCTTCGAATATCCGAAACCAAACCGAAGAACCTAACCAAAAATCCTTGGT